TTTTTAAACATTTTCTAATGGTGGTGTGCCTCGTGATTTTTTTCATGAAAAAAGTGTGCCTTTGCACAAAAAAGGTTGAAAAACACTGATCTAGAGGAGGATGGCTGCCTGTAGTCTTAGGAGCCGCCTCCTTCTCTGTGCCACAGCAGCACTGAGGATTGGTCTGTTTAAGGTAGCTTTGCTTTCTTAAGTTGCTATATGTTTTAACCATCAACAGGCCATATAATAAAAAGTATACCTAACCAAAAGGGGTTTCTTTGCAGTGTTCCCAGCACCACACCTTCCCTTCCCCCTGGCAAACTTCCCACATTGCAGGCTAAAACAAAAGCTCATAAAACATGTCTGAACAGTCACACAAGGTAGTCCCAAAGTGTTTTCCACTTGATGTGGGCTCAGTGAATTGATTTTGACTTTATGCCATTAGACTCCATTTAAATGTATCTCTATCACTTACTTAGTTCTTGCTACTTCATAATTCCTTCCACAGCAATGCAAACACGACTAGTTTTAATTTTATAGAGATTAAAAATTGATTTAAATCTATACAAAATGCCATTCATTCAACTCAGATTTGTCTACATTGAGATAAGTAGACCTGAGACTTGCAGGATCTACAATTTTTTTTCACTACCATCCAGGGCCTGATACAAAAAAATGCATTTAAGTATTAAAGTATTTTGAATGTAAGAAAAGGATTATCTTAGTTCCATTCCATAGCGTTGAAAGATGATTTTGTTACAAGCTGATATACCAGTACATTTGCATGCCAAGTACTGTTTAAACAAATCATACCCCTTACAGAATCCCTCAGTAAACAGGCGTTAATACCATCTACGTACTACAAGATAAACATTTCATTTAGCAAATTAGAATTCATAACTTGCAAGTTACATGGGATTCTTTATAAGTTTAAAATAAGAAAATGATATAGCAAGTGCAGATGTTTAGCCAGTTGATTTTTTCCCCCTAGTCTTGGCAGTAAGGTCATTAAGCCTTCAGAATGTGATTGATTCATTAGACTTAAATTACCCATTCAAGACAATTTCACAAATGAAAAAAAACAACTTTCAGGTTGAATTGATCTTTCTACTTTCAAAAAACATATGTGGTGTCTAGGCAATTGAAAATGAAGATAATTCACTTTAAAAAAGGGAGGAAAAGTGTATTTTGAAACATCTGTGACTTTTCCAGGTAACATTTGCAGCTGTGAGAAACATTAAGAAATTGAAATTACATGGAATTGTGGAAGACATCAATATCAAGAAAAAAAATCTGCTACAAGCTCCACCTAGTAAGGTTCCAGAACTCATAAATCACTGCAAATTTAGCTGTTACTGCAATAGTAGTCCACACTGTTGTACGTTATTGCTTATATAACCACAATGTGCATGTGTCAAAAGGAAACCTTTTCTTCAATTATTGCACAACTCATTGTCTATATATGTAGAATAAAATCTAGGTAAATGTCAAATGCTTTAAACATTAGATGCTCTTTGAACTAATAAACCAATTAAACTCTTCATTCACAGCTGCACAAGATACACTTGGAGAAAAATGAGTGAAGTATTTAAAGAAAACCTTCCCAACTGTTAAGCATTCGGGCAGCCCTAATTTTGGGGGGTTCTGTGGCAATCAATGCCACAGACAATGATGTACAAGTGGAAGCAAATATGGATTCAACTAAATGTCCCAAAGCCAAGCTGAAATACAAGTGGGTATTTCAGTGAGATATTGATTTGAAGCCTACCTAATTATGCAATATTTACATGACTGACTGATAAAGATTTTGCCATGACCTTCACAGTCCCCAGCTTGAACATCATTAAAAAATTCAAACATGCAGTTTGTACAAAGAGATCTAAAATAATTCAGAACAAGACAAGTTATATAAGGATGAAATTCCGGAAACAAGAATAGTTACTTTTATCTGGGTACACGAAATATTTACCTGCTGCTATTTTTGCCATTTTTTAATAACTAAATAACAAATGAAAGTTTCTGTGTCTGACCTGTACCTGTTCGTGGTTTTGTTACAGTTTTGTTATTTTGAGCCTGTAATTATGCATTAGTTAAGTATGCATAAATTTTCAGGAAAATGTGTTCAACCTTGTACCATGTAGATGTACATCTCGTTTATATGGGGCTTCATGTTTGATGCAACTGTACTTATCTAGGTTAACCTGCTTTTCAAACATTGGAGAATACTCATGCTGCTACAAACCAGCACCAGGTAAGGAAACAAGTATGCAAAATTTTTTGAACCAAATGCAAAGTTTCCTGAACCAGATGGGAACATGGGTTAGAAAAGAATATTGCGCTCAATTTGAATTGAATTGAATAGAATATTTGGCCAAATTTGATTAGACAAACCCTAACACCTGAACTAAAGAGACACTATCTAATACTTCAATTTTACTTTAAAGTCAAGACTTAAATATGGAACAATAAATTTATGGTTGAGACTGACAAAGGTAAGTTCAAGCCTGAGATAGCAGGTTGTGTCCTGAGGTAAATGCAAGTAAATCAAAACTAGAAGCGTGCATTTATCATACTGATCTCAATTTAAGTGCAAGCCAACAAAACCAAATGCTTTCTATATAGTTGCCTTCACCAATCTGATTTCATCTACATATACTATACTAATATAGTGATATTGCTTGCTGAAAGTATCTGGGAAGATCATAAATGGCAACTGAGGATGTTATTCCCGTCATAAATGTACAACAGCTGCCAAGATTTCAAATGATGATCACATGATTGTGGAGAGACTGTGACAATTGTAAAGGCAAAGACTGATCATAAGTCACTTTTTTCAGTGTGTTGTAGCTTCAAACAGTTGCTAAAGAAAAGCTTGATAAGTGAGGAATACCTGTAATTTGTCTTAGCAACATTATATTTGGATATGCTGGCTCTTTATGCAAAACCTAAAACTGAAAACATCTGGGGAACTCTGTGAGAATTATATTTTTAGATGCTCTCAAAAATGGTCATAGTTCATCTCTTTGCCAAACTGAAAAATAATACAGAAGAACCAAAGTAACTTCCCAGACCAAGGGACCCTTTGCTCTAGGCTAGGGACAATAGTTTTCTATGCATGCCACTTTGTGCTAATTTCCTATCCAGTTGCCTAAATAAGGGTATACAAAATGGAAGGCTATAGCTATAATAAAGCACAGGTTTTTCATGCAAAGCCTCCATAGTTCAATTTTTGACTTGCTGTTGATACACATATATTAGTGATTGAATATAAATCTACAGTACTTCCAATGTTCTTGGAATTCTCCTGCCTCCTTCTCTTAAAACATCCTTCCAGGAAAATCTGGATTTGCTCATAAGCGTTTAGTTCACAGCACAGCCTACTAATTTCTAAGCTTAATTCATGCCATCTTTGCAGATAATTTATTGCAGATAATTACCATCTCATTGCAATTATATACTGGTTGAATAGCATACCACAAAAAATATCAAAGCTGAGCAAAGCATTTCAAATATCAGATGACACGCTGGAGCAATAGGTATCAATACCCCTTGTCATCCACTGAAAAAGCTTTCCATAGTTTTCAGAGCCCATAATCACAGGCCTCAAGACTACTATTGAAATATAATTCAAGGAAGCCCTTGAAGATTTGAGGATCAGTTATTGTGGCCTGAACAGCTGGATCAAGCTTCATCAGATCAACCCAGCATTTTAACCCTGGAGTATGGTCCAAACATCTGGAAAAGAACAGAAAAAGATTTGAGGTAACAGTGAAACTTTGAGGCAACTATTTTTGAATATGTTGCCATTAAGATAGTGTTCATTGACATTCCTAGGTCAATAATATCGAAAGAATCCAAGTTCAATATCCAAGTAAAACTGGGAAAGAACTTTGATGCCCTACTATCATTAACTGGTGTGGAGAATGTACAGGTAGCCCACGACTTGTGATCACAATTAAACCCAAAATTTCTGCTGCTAAGAGAGACATTTGTTAAGTGAGTTTTGCCCCATTTTCCAACCTTTCTTGCCACCATTGCTAAGTGAATCATTGCAGCTGTTAAGTTAGTAGCACGGTTGTTAAATGATTCTGGATCCCCCATTAACTTTGCTTGTTAGAAGGTCACAAAAGGGGATCACATGACCATAAGAGATTGCAACCATCATAAATATGAATCAATCGCCCAAGCATCTGAATTCTGATCATGTCATCTTGAGGACGCTGCAACAGTTGTGACTGAAAAATAGTCATGTCACTTTTTTCAGAGCTGTAATTTTGAACGGTCACTAAGGGCACTGTTGTAAATCTAGGACTACCTGTATTGAATTAGATGGTTTAAAACACTTTTTTACATTCCTAATTGTACATCGAAAGATATATGGTTCTCCACTTGGGTTGTGCTCAGCCTCCTTAAAGGAAAGTGCTTCAGATATAGCCAGATAGCTGTAGCTTAGCTCAAGTGCATAATTTCATTATTTCAATTTCAGTTCAAGTTATAGGGGTTTTCCAGCATATATGATTGGCTTCCCAATCTTTCAAAGCACTACCTTAAAAAGTATGGCTGGCAATTATCATATACTATGAAGTAAATACAGTGTTAAAATAATCTAGCCAAAGCTTTCTACTTCCACCTTTGAATTAAAGGAACTGAGGACATTCTGCTAACTCAGAAGAGCAGAATGACAACAGATTTTAATTACATCACACCCAATTCAAAATATGGACATGGGCATCTGTCATGAGAAGAAAAGTAATGATAGAAATTGAACAGAACTGAATTGCTACTAAATTCTGATTCAGAAAAATGTATTTCATCTTCCTGCCTTAGACAGCAAAGTTAGAAGATTAATGGATACATTCAAAACAGAAAAAAGATGATTCTCCTATTCCAGGGCTGTCAAAATCCCAGCCCTTGGGCCGGATGCGTCACATGCTGGCCACACCCATGCCCAGTTTAGCAAAGGGGAGGAAAGTCCCGATATGTCACATGACGCTGCCATGACGGTGTGAGTTTGACACTCCTATCCTATTCTCTGTTGCCTCCTAATGACATCACTTCCATGTAAATTAGACATAAAACACGTGGAGCTAATATAGCTCTCCTGGCAGTAATCTGCAAAAGTAACCATGCGCAAGATTTAATAGCAAAAACTGTAAAAGGTTCAATGCACTTACTCAATTAACTGAAAGGCCTCCATCCGTTCAAACCATGGCCAGATTAGATAATCAATCATGGATACTGAATTTCCACCAAAAAACTTAGTTTTGTGGTTTGTGAGCATCTAAGATATAGGAAGATGTGACATTTCTAAATAAAATGCAAGGCATGACACCATAATTAAGAAACTAAATACGGAAAGTTGAGAAAAATTATGAAGATGGTTCACTGCAATTCTTATTCTGATGATCTGTGAATTAATGTATTTATTTACATTATTTCTATGCTACCCAATTGTGTTAACACTGGTTGATGTTGGAAACAAGAATTTTAAGAAATGAACAATAGACACAGAAGTGTTACTGCCAACACATTTCTGTCCCCAAAACTCAGAATCTATTATTAGATTTCAGCTATTTGGAATTAAAACTAAAACACATTGTAGAATATTGTAAAATCAGAATTTAAATAAAAAAATATGAAAGAAAAAGATCTTAGAGAAGTGCTTAAAATAGAAGCATCTATAAAAGTGAGAGGGAATGAAACAGAAGATGGGCAGTAAAATGGATCAATGCAAAAACAACCACCTGAAAGAATCTTACAAATTAGGACCACAAAGACATTTTCACTGTAAACAGCTTCAACCATGAATCTTCACGGTTCAACCATAAGCTCTGATCAATTAAAGTACCTTGGGACACTTTTGAGTACAGATCAGAGGTGGGTTGCTCCCGATCTGGCCCAGTTCGGGAAAACTGGTAGTGGTGGCAGCGGGAGGCTCCACCCACCTGCCAGGATGCTTCTGCGCATGTGCAGAAGCATCGTGCACACGAGCGAACCAGTAGCACCAGGATTTGCAACCCACCTCTGGTATAGATCACCTTTGTTTCAAGTTCAAGAAACTCTCAAAACTAAAATGCCATAAATAACTCATTTTAAAATATGAGTTTCAAGAAATTTTTCTAAGTCTTGCACTCAGACTGGCTTGAAACAAAGTGTTTTGTATACCCCTATAACAAACATAATTCCACTAATGAGACTGTATTTCTCCATGCACAAGTCTGGTAGCAGGGATATTCCATCCCCTTTGAAATGACTTAAATGTTAAGAGTTTTTAAGAATATGCATTATTGCACCAGTAAGACTTAATTCTAATTTGTACTATTTTATTAACAGGAAGGGATAGCGACAAAAATGAAGGCATCAATTAAATTCATTAATCCACAGCACTCCAAGTATCCTGTCATCTGGGCCACGATGGCATGCGTGCCAGAAGTGGCACACAGAGCCATCTCTCTGGGCACGCAAGCCATCACCTGTTGCTCTTCCGGTTTCCGGTGCACTGGCCAACTGGTCTTTACACACATGGGAACACCGCAAACCAGAAGAGCAGCCGCCTGGTGCACATGTGCGCACAGGGAAGATGATATTCCAGTTTCTGGCACGCGCATGTGCATTGGCAGCTAGTCTTGCCCGCATATGGCCAGTTCACATGCATGCGCCGGAAACCGTACTGGTCTGCAGTTTATTGGGAACTATGCTGCACAAGTGGCGGGTGAGTGTACGAAGTGCCTTTTGTGGAAGTGGCAGGCTCATGAGCAAAACCATCTCCTCTCCCCTGCTGCCAGCGGTCCACATGCTGGGAAGGTTGAGCACTGCTGGTCTAGAGTATACCTGAGGTGCTCTCTTATCACTGTGTAAACATGCAACTTCTACCAGATTTGTTTTGTAAGGGGAAGGACTGGATAGAAATGAGGGATATAATCTTGTGTGTTCAGTTTGGACCGAAAACCAAGGTCTGATCTTCACACCACCTTATCTTAATGAAAAACATGCACATCATCTCTCATACAATATAGATACCATTGGTTTGCTACCCTTTCTAGCTAAAGTTAGGAGAATCAGGAAGAATGTTAGGAATTGGAATCTATCCAATAACTTCAAAAGGAGAAACTGTGGAGTTCCAAACATGACAAGGGAAACAGTGAATCAGCAAGAGTGACATGAACTTTACGTCTCTTCAGAGGCCATGTATAAATTTGCTGGGATTTCAGGAAGAGAATACTACACTATATTGCCAAAAGTATTCGTTCACCCATCCAAATAATCAGAACCAGGTGTTCCAATCACTTCCATGGCCACAGGTGTATAAAATCAAGTACCTAGGCATGCAGACTGTTTTTACCAACATTTGTGAAAGAATGGGTCGCTCTCAGGAGCTCAGTGACTTCCAACGTGGAACTGTGTGATAGGATGCCATGTGTGCAACAAATCCAGTCGTGAAATTTCCTCGCTCAAATAAATATTCCACAGTCAACTGTCAGCTGTATTATAAGAACGTGGAAGTGATTGGGAACGACAGCAACTCAACCCTGAAGTGGTAGACCACGTAAACTCGTCCAACATCAGTGTATGACCTCACAAATGCACTTCTGGAAGAATGGTCA